GGGGGTCCTGGGGGGACATCAGGGGGTCATTGGGGGGGTCCCAGGGGGGGGGGTCAGTGTCCCCAATGTCCCCAATGAGGGGGGGAATGAGGGGGGGGGTGTCCCCAATGTCCCCCAGGCCCAGAACCCGGTGCTGCGGCACATCACGGATTACCTGATGGTGTCCCCAATCCCCCAATGATGTCCCCAGTGATGTCCCCAATGTCCCCCAGGCCCAGAACCCGGTGCTGCGGCACATCACCGATTACCTGATGGTGTCCCAATGATGTCCCCAATGTCCCCAGTGTCCCCAGTGATGTCCCCAGTGATGTCCCCAATGTCCCCAATGTCCCCAATGATGTCCCCAATGTCCCCAATGTCCCCTCCCAGGCCCAGAACCCGGTGCTGCGGCACATCACGGATTACCTGATCGTGTCCCAATGATGTCCCCAATGTCCCCAATGTCCCCCAGGCCCAGAACCCGGTGCTGCGGCACATCACTGATTACCTGATCATGTCCCAATGATGTCCCCAATGTCCCCAATGATGTCCCCAATGTCCCCAATGTCCCCATTGTCACTGTCACAGGCCCAGAACCCGGTGCTGCGGCACATCACCGATTACCTGATCGTGTCCCCAATGTCCCCAATCCCCCAATGATGTCCCCAGTGATGTCCCCAATGATGTCCCCAATGTCCCCAATGATGTCCCCAGTGTCCCCAATGATGTCCCCAATGTCCCCAATGTCCCCAATGATGTCCCCAATGATGTCCCCAATGTCCCCAATGTCCCCAATGTCCCCATTGTCACTGTCACAGGCCCAGAACCCGGTGCTGCGGCACATCACGGATTACCTGATCGAGGAGGTCAGCGCCGAGGAGGAGGAGCTGCTGGGACAGGGACAGGGACAGGGACAAGGACAGGGACAAGGACAAGGACAAGGACAAGGACAGGGCGCGGCCCCGGCCGAGGACGGCGCCCGCGAGACCAACCCGGCCGAGGTCACCGTGGAGCGCGACGAGAAGCTGCTCAAGGTGCGGCACCGGGGACACCAGTGTCACCACAGTGTCACCAGGGTCACCAGAGGGTCACCAGGGTCACCAGGGTCACCAGGGTCACCACAGTGTCACCAGAGTGTCACCAGGGTCACCAGGGTCACCACAGTGTCCCCAGGGTCACCAGGGTCACCACAGTGTCACCGAGTGTCACCACAGTGTCCCCAGGGTCACCAGAGTGTTACCACAGTGTCACCAGTGTCACCAGAGTGTCACCACAGTGTCACCACAGTGTCACCAGTGTTACCACAGTGTCACCAGGGTCACCAGTGTCACCACAGTGTCACCGAGTGTCACCACAGTGTCCCCAGGGTCACCAGAGTGTTACCACAGTGTCACCAGGGTCACCACAGTGTCACCAGAGTGTCCCTGAGTGTCACCACAGTGTCACCACAGTGTCCCCAGAGTCACCAGAGTGTCCTCTGGGTGTCCCCAGGGTGTCCCTGAGTGTCACCACAGTGTCACCAGGGTCACCAGAGGGTCACCACAGTGTCACCACAGTGTCCCCAGGGTCACCACAGTGTCACCAGGGTCACCAGAGTGTCCTCAGGGTGTCCCTGAGTGTCCCCACAGTGTCACCAGGGTCACCAGAGTGTCCTCTGGGTGTCCCCAGAGTGTCCCTGAGTGTCACCACAGTGTCACCAGGGTCACCAGAGGGTCACCACAGTGCCACCAGGGTCACCAGAGTGTCCTCAGGGTGTCCCTGAGTGTCACCACAGTGTCCCCAGGGTCACCAGGATCACCAGAGTGTCCTCAGGGTGTCCCTGGGTGTCCCTGAGTGTCACCAGGGTCACCAGAGTGTCCTCAGGGTGTCCCTGAGTGTCCCCACAGTGTCACCAGGGTCACCAGAGTGTCCTCAGGGTGTCCCTGGGTGTCCCAGAGTGTCCCTGAGTGTCACCAGAGTGTCACCAGGGTCACCAGAGTGTCCCTGGGTGTCCCTGGGTCTCCTCAGGTGTCCCCAGAGTGTCCCAGAGCGTCCCCAAAGTGTCCCCAAGTGTCTTCAGAGTGGCCCAAATGTCCCCAATCCCCCCAGTGTCCCCTCAATGTCCCAAATGTCCCCAATCCCCCCA